TTTATTCATTTATCTGTTGATCAGTATTTGGGTTGTTATGTCTTTTGGCTATTGTGAATAATGCTTCTATGAACGCTGGTGTATTAATACCTGTTTTAGTCTCTGTTTCAATACTTTTGGGTATATATCTAGATGCAGAATTGCTGGGTGATGTGATCATTCTATATTAAACTTTTAAAGGAACCATCAAACTACAGGGGGTGCCAAAAAATGTAAACACATTTTAAGAGATGTTATCTATGTATTACCTTTTGAAGTTGAATTAAGTTACAGTAGCAGTGTGTACTATGACGTTTGCTCAACTGTGCTTCCGCCATTTTCGACTGTCCTGCCTGTTGACACTAGCATTCATTTGATTAATACTGTCTTTTGAGTGAATGTAATACTTAAAATGTGTATACTTTTTTGCTCCCCCCCCTGCATTTTCTACAGTGGCTGTACCAATTTACCTTCCCACCAGCTATGCACAAGGCTTTCCATTTCTTCACAACCTTGAGAACACTTGTTCTTTTCCTTTTATTTTCTGAAACATCCATCCCAGTGGTGTGAAGTTCTGAGGTGTTTTCCAACACTAACTACCCATTCTTCGGTTCTCCAGACATCTACTTGAAGGGCCGACAATTCAATTCATTTTTTTTATAATCAATATTTTTTTATTATGCTATTGTGGGGTACAGTTAAGGGTTAGGTATACAAAAATGCTTCGTTCAGGCACCCTTGTTGATAAGAGGTGTCTCCCCGTCCCCAGACAGATGTTTACTACCATTAGTCCCATCTCCCTTCTCCTTCCCCCCCATAGTTTCCCACCACTGTCAGTCATTTTCTTATGGTAATACATTGGATGATCAAGGTCCACTATATGAGTGAGAACATGTGATACTCAGATCTTTGTTTTTGTGAGAGGTCACTCAGTATTATAGACTCTAGTTCCATCCAGGTTGCTGCGATTTTGTTCTTTTTTATGGCTGCATAGTATTCCATCTTGTATATGTACCACATTTTTTAATCAGTCCTCTTTTGATGGACAGCATGATTGGTTCCAGGTTCTTGCTATTATGAACAACGCTGTGATAAACATTCGTGTGCAGGTATCTTTTTGACAGAGTGATTTGAGTTCTTCAGGGTATATTCCCAGTAGGGGGATTGCAGGGTCATATGGGAGGTTGATATTTAGAGCTTTTAGGAATCGCCACACTGCCTTCCACAGAGGTTGCACTAGTTTACACTCGACCAACAGTGTAGAAGTGTTCCCTTTTCGCCACACCCTCTCCAGCAACTGTTATTTTTTGAGTTATTGATAATGGCCATTCTGACTGGAGTGAGGTGGTATCTCAGTGTGGTTTTGATTCACATCTTCCTGATGATTAGTGAGGTATTTCAATTCATTTCTGACACTTACCTGCAGTGAGTCAGATTCCACAGATTAACAGGTTCAGTCCTCATGTCAGGCTGCCCCCCACTTCAGATGCCAATTGCAAGTCCCAGGCCATCTGTAATTCTGACCAACCAACTATAAATGTGGGGTTCCCATGGCCCATGTTCTACAATTTGCTAGAATGGCTCAAGGCACTCAGGGAAACATTTCTGCTTACTGTTTTGTTATAAAAGGTATAACCCAGGAACAACCAACTGGAAGAGATGTGCAGAGCAAAGTATGAGGATACAGTGCAGAGCTTCCCTGCCAATTGGGCATGCCTCCTTCCCAGATGTTTGCCAACTGGAAAGCTCGCTGAATACCATTGTTCAAAAGTTTTGACAGAGCTCAATCTTCAGGCCTTGCCCTAGAGGTAGGCAGGTGGGGCTGTAAGTTCCAACCCTCTGCTTACCCTACCTTTCTGGTGACCAGCTCCATCCTGAGGCTCTTTAGGGGGCCTACCCTAAAAAACCATATTAGCATAAACTCAAATGTGATTGAAAGGGAATCATTACAAATAACAAAAGATATTCCTTTCACTCAGGAAATTCCAAGGGTTTGGGAGCCCTGTATCAGAGACCAGGGACAAAGATCAAATATATTTGTATATTTTACCTCAGAACTGGTACCTGCTTGTGGTTTTGATTTGCATTTCCATAATGACTGTTGATTTTGAGCATCTTTTCATTAATTGGCCATTTGTATATCTTCTTTGGAGAAACATCTATCCAAGTCCTTTACCCATTCTTTAAATTGGGTTGGTTGGTTTTTTGTTGTTGAGTTGCAGAGTTCTTTAAAAGAGGGATAGCCAAAAAACCCAGAATTTATTTATACAAAGTTGTGTATTTTTTCTTACATGTTTCAACTTCAGTCACCCTCAAAGTACTCTCCATTTGATGCAATACACTTATGGAGACACTTTTTCCACTGCTCAAAACAGTTTTTGAATTTGTCAGTTTTGATGATTTTCAATGCCTCTGCTGTTTTTTGTTTCACCTCTTATACATTGGCAAAAAGTTTCCCTTTGAAGGGTTTTTTTCATCCAAGGAAACAAAAAAAAGTTGCTTGGGGAGAGATTGGGTGAGTGGGGAGGTTGGGGCATAAGGATCATGCTATTTTTGGTCAAAAACTGATAAACACTCAGTGTAGTATGGGCAGGTGCTCTCATAAATCACCCATCATTCCATGGGCAAAGGCGTTGAAAATCTCCAAAAAAAATTCACTGAAGCCAAACACAGCCTCTCACAACAACGCTAGTTGGTACATAGATGCTGATGGGTTCCCAGAACTCTTCCCTAGCAGGAAAAGCCTTTACTACCAGGGGCCCACCCTTCAAAAGATAATTCCTTTAGTTTGGGGTCCCTTTCATATATTTTGGATAGTAATCCCTTATCAGATATATGGTTTGTAAATATTTTCTCCCATTCCATGGGCTGCCTTTTCACTTTCTTGATAGTATCCTTCGATGCACAGATTTCTTTTTATCTGATGGAGTTCAATTTATCTATTTTTTTCTCTTGTTGACTGTGCTTTTGGTGTTGTTCCAAGAAATCATTGCCAAATCCAGTGTCATGCAGATCTTCTCCTATGTATTCTTCTAAGAGTTTTATAGTTTTGGAAATTTTTGTTTTGGTTTCTGATCCCTTTTAAGTTATTTTTGTATGTGATGTAAGGTAAGGGTTCACCATGTTATTTTGAATGTGGATATCCAGTTTTTCCAGAACTGTTTATTGAAAACAAAGTCCTTTCCCCACTGAATGGTGTTGGCTCCCTCGTTGAAAATTTGGCTGTACCAGCTTGCAATCCTAGTACTTTGGGAGGCCAAGGTGAGTGGATTGCCTGAGCCTGTGGGTTCGAGAGCAGCCTGGGCAACTTGGTGGGACCTCGTCTCTACAATAAATCAAAAATTAGCCAGGCGTGGTAGCGCGCACCCGTAGTTCTGGTTACTTGGAAGGTTGAAGTGGAAGGATAGCCTGAACCCAGCAGGCCGATGCTGGGGTGACAGAGTGAGATTCCAACTCAAAAAATAAAATAAAATAAAAATAAATAAATAAAAAAGAAAAATTGGCCAAGTATGTGAGGGTTTATTTCTGTGTCTTGATCCCAGTTTGTAAAAATAGGAAATAAGCTTTAAATTCCTTTTGTAGGTATAAAACAGATATTTTCTAGTAATACTAATATACACAGTACAAAATAGCTATGCCAGAAGGGCTATCATATATAATAAAAGTATACTGTAACAAAAGAAGAGAAACAAATACTACCCAAAACGATTTAAAGCACATTTTTATTATAGATGGGTAAGGGTTGTTTGCTGTGGCTAAAAACATATTTATAATGGATGTAGAGGCTTTTCTATCTACCAAGAGGTATAATATTTTTAATATTGAACTAACATTTCTGTGACGACAAGAGGGAGCTGGCTAAGCTTATTTTTAATGGGAAAAGACCTTTTTCCCCCCTGGATATTGCTTTAAAAACTGGTAAGTTAAATTCTTTTAGTTACTAGCACATCAAATTTAAGAACAGAGAAATAAAATCAATGAACACTACAAAAACGTGTAATTTCTATAAAGCAGAAATATAAAGTTTTTATAATTTAAAACAGCAGCAATTTCAAAAGATTTGCTGAATTAAAACTTTACAAAATATATATACACAAAGTATCATTCCAGATGATCATGGCGTTTTACAACAGTATATCACAATCCCCAATCTCTAACCCCAACCTACTACTGGATGTAGCTGGCCTATAATAATTTTTACAACAATTAAAAAAATAAAACGACAACAGAAAGAAACCTTCCAATTCCCTTGTGTACAAGCACAGGTTACAATGTGCTGGCTTTGATTCTGTATGCACAAAGAGAATCTTAAAATAAAACAAGGACTTCACATAAATAGTTTTACTTGTTATTAAGTATGTGACCAAACAAATTAAAATAAGTACTAACAACCAAAACATATCTTGATGTAACCAGTACATACACTCTTAAAGAATAACAAGGAAGAAAAAGGAAATAAAATAGTCTATGAAAGCCACAAGCACCTTGTTTTCAAAAGAGCACCAAGCAACACAAAAAGGCAACACGTAAGAGGTAGTGTACCACCGGCTAAGATGTATATGCCCACGGGGGACCTGAATACAGCTTAGTGTTTTGGAAAAGAAGACATTAGACTGTGGCTGTCATTTTAGACAGAAGCACTGCACACTTGGGAGCATTAGCCAGTATTGCTCCATGGCGCACTGCATCTCCAGCTGTCTAATGGGTACTTAGCTCTCAGACAGTCACAAAATATAGGATACCCTGAAGAATTCCATATTTATACATTTTCAGCTCTAGGGAATTCGCTAAGAAAGCTGAGATCAATATAATTTTTACAAGAATTAAATACTTTATCAATTGTAGTCCTTTAAAACATGCCTTTTCTCCTTCTTAGGAGGAAGTCGATTCTTCCTGAGATTCTTTAAAATTTAGCCAATGCTAGCCATGCATTTCATAATGACAGTATTTTTCTGTCTACATTTTTCCCTCTGAAGCAATTACCTGGTCAACAGCATGAATTCTGAACTAATTCAGAGACTTTAGAGAAAGCACACAGGACTGCTTTCAATGTAATACTTCCGTTCAGTTTTGAGATGAGGAAGTTTTTGTACTTCGACAACTGGTAGTTGATTAGGCTCCTGGGTGTGAAAAAGAAATGTTGCCTTATGCCAGCTGCCATCTTGAATCTGTAAAATGAGAACAAAATGCTTTCATATGCACTTCATTAGCAGTCATTCTCAGCAGACAGTGCCCTTCATAAACTATGTAGAGTGTTTAAGGTTTGGAGACAATGACTAGAAAGGGCCTAGAACAATGCACAATAAGTGGTAGCAATTAATAATATTAGCTGAAAACATGACCTTATTCTCGTTTCTATAATGACATTGTGTGTTCTAATTCTTCACTTGCAGCACCTAAGGCCAGGCTTCTGTTTCGGTTGTCTGTGGATTGCTGGACCAAATATGAATGAAGAGATTGCTATATTCCCAATATGAGTGATTCCCATCTGCTCTGTGTTTCTTTACTTGGGATTGATTCTTCAGGATGGGCATTTTTCTTGGATGAAAGTGAATGAGCATTCTCATCCTCAGTACTTTAGGTAGGAAGTAACCAGAATTGCCTCAGTCAGAAGGTTGTTAATACTAAAATTAGGTTCAATATCTTTTTGTTTTTTTGAGTCGTGGTCTCATGCTGTTGCCCAGGTTGGAGTACAGTGGCCTGATCACAGCTTACTGCAGCCTCAACCTCCTGGGCTCAGGAGGTGTCTTAGCTCCCTGAGGAGCTGGGATTACAGGCGCATACCACCATGTCTAACTAATTTTTTAATTTATGTAGAAATGAGGTCTTACTATGCAGCCTCAGCTGGTTTTGAACTCTTGGACTCAAGCAATCCTCCTGCCTTGGCCTCCCAAAGTGCTGGGATTACAGGAATAAACCTCTGTGCCCCCCCGTACAGTCATCTTTTATGTTTCTTTTTTCTTTTTTCCATTCTGTGGTTCTCTATATAGTTTTTCCTTTCTTCTCTTCCTTCTAGGCCTTCTTATTATTATATGTTATTTTGTTTCTTTTACATTCTGTGGAGCAAAATATATCATAAATTGTCCTATGATTAAGATGCAACAAGACACATTAGGGAAACACAATGGGTAGTTTTGTGCAGCTTTTATTCAGGACTTATTTAACTTATTCATTCACAGAAATTTCATGAATTCTGAAATTCGAAGTAACTTTGAAGATAATTTAAGCTACAAATTTCATTTTAAAGGTAAGGCAATTGAAACTCATTGAAGGTAAGTTACTGCATCTAAAGTAATATACCTAAATTTTGTGTGTAAGACTGTTAGATTCATTCATTTTTTTCAAGCAATATTTATTGAACACTAAATACATTTGGCATAGTTTACTCAACTATGTAATCCTCAATTTCTTAAAGTGCTTGAATCCTAAAGATGAATAAATTTGTCTGGCTTCTGAATTCTAGCAGCTTATAAATCTTGCTGGAGAGAGGAAAAACATAAATAACCACAATACAAGACCATATATGGTAAGTACAATATAAATAATATAGATAATAAGTATTAAGCCCTCCCCCCTTCTCTCCCTCCCTCTCTCCTTCATTTTTCTTTTTTTTTTACTTTTTTATTTTTTAATGGTTCTGGCTCCTTCCCTTTCTGAGACCCTTCATTTTTTAATTTTAATTTTAATTTTTTTATTGTAGAGACGAGGTCTTGCCAAGTTGCCCCGGCTGGCCCCGAACCCACGGGTTCAGGCAATCCACTCACCTTGGTCTCCCAAAGTGTTGGGATGACAGGCTGAACCACCGAACCCAGCTCCTTCCTTCCTAAGACAGGGTCTCACTCTGTCTCTTAGGCTGGAGGTGCAGTAGTGGGACCATGACTCACTACAGCCTTGACCTCCTGGGCTCAGCAATCTTCCTACTTCAGCATCATAAGTGGCTGGGACTATAAGCATACGCCACTATGTCCAGCTAATTTAATTAAATTAATTTTTTTAGAGATGGAGTCTCACTATATTGCCCAGGCTGGTCTCAAACTCCTGGGATTCGAGCAATCCTGCCTCGGCCTCTCAAGGTGCTGGGATTATAGGTATGAACCTCTGCACCCAGCCACTTCCTCATTTCTATCTGGAGTAGTCAGGGAGAGCTTAGTGAAAAACTTAGAATTCAGATGAGCTTTAATGTTTCCTTAAAATTTCCTCTTGATTAGTGAGGTATAGAAGGGCATTTGAGAGTAAGGAATGGCATAAGTTACACACAGAGACATACACACACACAGCAGCAAAACGAAACAAAACAAAACCCAACAAAAACCAAACAAACCAAAACAGATGGGAAAATTATTCTACCATGGAAGTTAAAAGCACAGATTTCAACTTGGCACAGAGTTTGATAGAAATCCAGGTATTATCATCTTCCCTACATATAAATTGGGAATAATAAAAACCTGCCTCACAGGCTTGTGAGGATTAAATAAGATTTCAATCAAGGCTTGGCTTGGTGACTCAGCCTGTAATCCCAGCACTTTGGGAGGCCGAGGTGAGAGCACTGCCTGAGCCTACATGTTCGAGACCAGCCTGGGCAACTTGGTGAGACCTCATCTCTACAATAAATCAAAAAATAGCCGGGCATGGTAGCACGTGCCTGTAGTTCTGGCTACTTGAAAGGCTAAGGGGGAAGGATCGCTGGAGCCCAGCAGGTTGATGCCAGGGTAGCCATGAGCATGCCGCCACACTCCAGCCTGGGCAACAGGGTGAGTCTCTGACTCAAAAAAAATAAAAAAAAAAGAGATTTCAATCAAAAGTCCCTAGCAGTACAGGGAAGCTTTGGAGGTCTACATGCTGGGGTTTGGTTTCTCACTCCTCTTCTGATTAGCTTCATCACTTTGAGCATGCATGACTTAACCCCTCCATGCCTTTACTTTCTTACCTATAAAATGGGGTGAATAATATTTTCTTTATAAAGCAATTTGATAAATAAAATAAAGTATATAATGCATGGCCACTTGCCACATAATAAACCCCTGATAAATAGTAGTGGGAATTATTGATATTTTTATCCCTGTTATTATTACAACAGATCAGTTTGGCCATAGTTCAGAGTAGTTCACCAGTGAAAGCTCAAGTTGGAAAGGCAAGTTGGGTCTAATTGTTGTAAGCACCGAACATGGTTGATAAGTTTGGATTGTGTCTCAGAGGTACTAGCGAGTTACTGAGTGTTTCTGGGCAAGATTTTAAAAGTTAGATGAATATGTTAGTGATATTGATTTCTTTGAATAAAGAGAATAAGAGCCACATCCTTCTGACCATTTGCCTAGGATTTTTCAAGCACTATTTTTCTGGAAATAAAATGTTATGAAAAAGTAGAGTACCCTGGAAATGTTAAGAGATGCTAAGTTATAGTCTTCATAGTACACAAGGATAGGAGATCAAGCTACCTAAAGTAATTAATGTGTATACATAAAGAGGTCAGTTCTATACAATGGGGGTTGGCAAATTCTTTTCTAAAGGGTCAGAGAGTAAGTATTTTAGATTTTGTAGGTCCTACAGGCGCTGTCACATCTACGCAACCCCGCCATTGTAATGTGATAACAGTCATAGATAATAAGTAAATGAATGTGTGACTGTGTTCCAATAAAATTTATTTACAAAAACAGGTGGTGGGCCAGACTTGGTCTGTTGACTGTAGTTTGCCTACATCTGCTCAATGAAACAATATTTTTAAGTGATAAATTTTTCATAACATCCATTGTTTAATTTTAATGAAAAAAAAAGGGCTACAATTCAAATACTGACTGATAGGGTCAATCTGTAATTATACCTACATTTGGTATCAGGTACAGAAACTGACAATATAAAATAAAACTGACTTGCTTCTATATCTTCTCTTCCACACAGTAATGAAATGTAGAATGACAGCAGTGAAGACACATGAAAAAAATCTATTTGTCCATATGCTCTGGCCATCTATCCATCCATCCATCCAACCAGGTATGATATAATTATTTGATATGGAGAATAAACATTAATTAATACCTATTTTGCTTATAAAAATCTATGAATGACCAAAAGGTATAACAAAAGTTGTCAAGATAGTATGTAAACAAATAATTGATCCTGAAAAATGTATAGTTACAAATCAGACATATTAAAACTTAATATCCTTCTATGGTTTGTAATTAAAATCTTACTCTAATCATTCAAATTTTATAGTTTTATCATATTGAACTCTATTGAACAATTCTAAAGGTGCCATTCCCTTACCTTGCAGTCATCTGAAAGCACTTCTGGTTCATGTAGAGTGTTTTCTTTAAAAATCTGGCCATTCCATCCCTTGAAGCCAACAAGCAATCCTGGGCCACTTTCTTGTGCCCTTGTCCACCTTGGGGCGTTTAGACAGTGAATGGTGATGATGTGGGTGGCTTCAGAGCTCAGTAAATGAAGGAAGTTCATCTGGACTTTCCCCACTCCAAACTCCAACTAATGTCATAGAAACAACATGCAGGTTATAAGGTGGCAATTGAGAAGGTTGCAGTTTGGGGAAACTTGAGGAATGTCCTGGAAAGGCAGCCTTGAGAAAGCTCTTTTCTTAAGATTTAACTGTCAGTAGTGGTGTGCTGGTAAATGTTTAACTATTGGCATTTGAGGGGAAAAAAAATTCCTAAGTTATAGCATTTTCTGATTCCTGCAGTAGAAATACTTTCATTATCCACTGTGGCTGGTTTCAGGCTGCCAAGATGTCAACTGAAAATGACATTGGGAAGATGTTAACGGTAGACTCTTCTGAGCCTATATGAACTGGATTCATTATACCATCATGCTATTACATATAATTTAAAAAGGAAAATAATTTTCCTGGTACCTAAAGTGCAATAATAATTTGCTGTTGGTTAATGCTTTAATAACCTTTTTCATAAAAATATGCAATTCTGTTGATGCCTTCATTTGGGATTTTTTGTGAGTGTTTCCATAAATAAGTTACAAGTTATAATAATAATTTGGTTGAATAATTTTAACTATTAGAACCTCAAAGGACAGGGACAGAATCTTATTCTTGGTGTTACCAGCCCCTAATGCAATCTCAGTCACACAGTGAATAATCAGTAAATGTTTACTGAACGAATTAATGAATGAATGCATGAACAAATACTAACTAATAAAGTGAACAATGTGGGACAAAATCAGAGTTAAGAAGTCTGCACATTTTCCAGGCTTGGGCAAGAAAACAGGTTTTCCTGTAGCTCTGGACATTATTATTATGTTGGCATTATTCAAGCAGGAGTATGGTTATAATGTAAACGAGCAGGAATGCTTTCTGCTGAAGAGTTTATACTAGTCTCTGAATGTAAAATTAGAAAAATATCAGCTATGAGGTAATGGAGAAGGAAAAAATGTAAAAAAACAACAGCAACAGCGACAACAACAAAATAACAAAGAGAGGAAAGGCGAAAGAAAGGCATAAGTATGAAAACATGGAAGGATAATCCTAAGACGCATTAGCGTTTGTCATTCAATTTCTTCATCTGACAGATCAGAATCAGAAACTTGCAAAATATTTCATCTTTCTGAGCCTTAGTTTCCTTGTCAGTGAAATGGGGGATAACACCGACCTGACAGGGTTAAAGAAGATTAGAAATGACTAATGTAATTGACCTAGCGTTGTGCTTGGCACAGAGCATGCCTTCCGGTGGCTCACAGTTTCAACCCCTTGGGTTAGCAGAGGAGTAGAAACTAGAACCCAGGTCTCTGACTCCAAGCCTATTGTCCTTTCAAAATGTTTACAAAATTTCATTTATTTTTTGACTCGCTCTAAAGATCTTAGGACCAAGTCTATGGTTCTTTGACAACCTCCTCGTCTTCCTGACATACAGCATTTTTAGTATCAATTTTACATAATGCCTGCAGCTTTTCTCCATTTACTAAATGTAAATGTGTTTACATTTGGGTAGGATAGGAGAACTGGGAGAATTGATTCAGGCATGGAAAGAACTAGCATGCAGCTTCCTGAAGGCTTCTGTCTCCTTCGCTCAGCTCTCACACTCCCGGCCCCTTTCCTTCTGTGATAGTCCTGGGCTGACTTCCAGGGGAGTGAGGATGATTATGTGGATATTTTAGAAGTAGGAGTATCACGCTGCTCTTTATTAGAGGTGCATGGCTTCCCCGTAGGAATGGAAGAAGCCTTTCTTTCTCTATTTTGGGGGTAATAATGGCAAATACCTCTTGAGATGAACGTGTAAAATACCTGGTTCATGAAGAGAGGTGTTTCAGGAGGACCTATTTCAGGGCAGTTCAACAATAAGTAGCTAAAAAGGTTGTACATTTCAGCAGCTGCCCTTTATGGTGGACAAAACACACAATAGGCACCTGTTTGAGTTCCTTGTCAATACAAATAAAATTCTTGCTCATTGCTGGTTTAATTAGAAAAAGAAAGGAATACAGTTGTGTGTTAAGCATATGTTATAGGTAGGACTAAGATGTCGGTTTTATAAATATTTGTTATAACGCCCAGTGTTAACTAATTTGCATTTATTCTAATTATTTAGTTTATGGAATTATTCCATTAAAAACGTCTTAAGTACCACTCAGTGTTTATTTAAGAAAGGTTACTGTGTGCCCAGTCATCACAAACAGCAAGATTTTGTGACAAAATTCTTTTAATGATGATGTAATTTTCAGCACACTTTAGGTAACTGATTATGGATAACACACTGCAGTTGTTTAGGAATTTTCTAGTGTGTCTATTCATAAAAACATAACATCTATTACACAATTTTTAATGGAATTTTTTTTTTTTGAGTTGGAGTCTCACTGTTGCCCAGGCTGGAGTGCAGTAGCACGCTCACCGTCACCACAGCCTTGACCTGCTGGGCTTAGACTGTCTTTCCACCTCAGCCTTCCAAGTAGTTGGAACTACAGGCACATGCCACCGTTCTCAGCTAATTTTTTGATTTATTGTAGAGACGAAGTCTTGCCAAGTTACCCAATCTGGTCTTGAATCCTGGGCTCAGGCAGTCCTCTTGCCTCGGCCTCCCAAAGTGCTGGGATTACAGGTGTGAGCCACTGCGCCCAGCCATTTTACAGGAATTTCAAAAACATGATCAGTTAAGTAAGCTGAACTAAGCCAATCATAAACACAATCAAAATGTCAAAATTGACTGTGATTAGGTATTTTTTTTAAAACCAAAAAGCTTATTTTCCATATATGACAGAGAATGATACTTTGCTTTCATTCTTAACATTTATAATTATTTGAAGTGACAGAATTTTAAACAAATTGTTCACAGATACTCTGTAATATATCATCATAAGTTCTAAAATTCAATACATACCTTTGTCACAGAAACAGGAGGTAAACATGTCTGGCCACCAGCACTGAAATTGCAGAAAACCTCAACAGCATCTGAAGGACATCCGAGATTTGGATCAATCCAGTATTTTCCTATTAATTTACAGTAAAACGCAAAGTAATTTAGGCGCCATGCTAAAATATGTCTGAATCACCCTTATAAGTTATCACAACACTTTAAATACATGGATTTCCACAGTCTTACTTGTTAAAAAAAATAGGAGATTATAAACATATTTACATTTAGTGAATGAATGAAAGCTGCAAGCATCATGTAAAATTGATACTAAAAATGCTGTCTTCCTATCAATTTAAGGGGATTTCATAATTTTAATAAAAATGATAGAATGGCTGAATTTATTGCTTTATTCTACAGATAAGAAGATGAGCTTATTGTCTGTAGTTATAGTTCATAGAAAAATTGAGGTTAATGTAGTATATGTGCATATTTCTGTTCTAGGGCAAAAGTAGTTCCAAGTATTGGGTTCATTTCTCTGCAGTCTTCTTCAATGTCTTGGCTTGAAAGTCCCCCACTATTTGTTAGCTCTTTTATACTTCTAACTTTTAAGAAATTAGTTTTGCCAGGTCGTTTGAATTACCTGCTTCATTCCTGGAGCTCCTAGCTCTACAGTTTTCTCTTAAAATCTGATAAGGTTTTAACTACTACCATTCCTGATGGTAGTACTCTTGATGAAGGTCTTCAATGATCTCTGCATTACTACATCAAATGCAAACTTTCTTCACCTTACTTAACATTGACCCAGTTGGTCCCTTCCTCCCCCTCCAGCAAACATTTTCTTTGCTTAGTTTCCAGGATACTACATTCATCCAGTTTTCCTCCTGTCTCAGTGACAGCTTTTCTTAGTTTTCTTTGCTAGTTCCTCCTCACCTTCCTGATCTCTAAACACTGACCAGTCCCAGGACACAGTTTTTGACTTCTTCTCTTTTCTTTCTTTACCTACTATCTAGGTATTCTTAAAAAGTCTCAAGGCATTAGATATTATTTATATGTGTATGATTTCATAACTTTTGCCCTTAGCCAGGACCTCTTTCTTGACTTTAAACTTGAATAGTCAACTCTTGACTTGACATTCTTATTTGAATATCTAACAGACATCTCATACTAACCATATCCCAAACTAAACTCCTGGTCTTTTATCCAAACCTGCTTCTCCCGAAATCTTCTCTATTTCTATTAACAGGAACCCTACCTATAGCAAAAAAATATTAGAGTCATTGTTTACCATTCTATTTCTCTCACAGCCCATATGCAATCTATCAACAAAAACTGCTGGCTCTATCTTAAAAGCGCATTCAAGAATCTCACCTTTCCCCCCCCCCCCCCACTTCCCCTGTGACCAACTCTAGTCCAATTCATCATTATCTCTTCTGGATTATTTCAATAGCCTCTTCAGTGGTTTCCCTACTTCTATCCCGTGCTCCTCATTATATTTGCAATACATTAGCCAGAGTAATATTTTGAAAATCTGAGTCAAATTATGCCATTTCTTTGCTCAACAATTTCTAGTGACTTCCCATTCTATTCAGAGTAAAAGCTAGAGACTTTTTAGTAGTCTAGAGGGTCCTATATAATGTGGCTTCTTGATATATTTTTGACTTAATTTCCTATGACTCTCCCCTTCATGCACCTCTTCCAAAAGTCACACAGGACTTTTTGCTAGTCCTAGACATGTTAGGTACACGTCCAGGATTAGGACTTTTGTATTTACTCTTCTGCCTGGAAAACTCTTTCTCTAGATTTCTTGTAGCATTCTCCCTTACCTCCTTCTGATATGGCTCAAATGTCACCTTCTTAGAGAAGTCTTATCTGTCTATTCTATTTAAAATTGCACCTTCTGCACCACTTCCTAGCATGCCCCCTTCCCTGCTGTTTTATTTTTCCCTATAGCACTTATCATTTCCTACTGATGAAAGTATTTTGGGGGCACAAAGATCTTTCTGATACTCCACAATTCATACAACTTAACTGTTTATCCTATAATGAAGGTAGACCTTGAATTAAATTCCATACTGATTTTGTATGTCTTACAATGTCTTTGTTCCTTTCAGTTCTACAGAATTGTAGTTTTATGCCCTCAGATATGGGAAAAAATCAAGCTTAGAATTATTATAGACAGTCACAATTGTAAACATCATTTTAGTTTTTATATTAATTTTGGGCAGGAAATAGCTACAGAAGTTAAGTATTTTATTAATATAAATAAAATGAATATTTTCATTGCACTTCTAGAATGAAAGCAGATGTTTTGGACAAGAATATGGTGTGTGAGTGTTATATGTGTATATGCAAAATTAAAATGACTACTATCTACTTTACAGAATAACACAATATAGATTTTTCAAATCAACATTTTTCAAATCACAACTTTTTCCCAAAGGCGTCATTGTGTTAAGATGAGAGTTTTCACCAAAAAAATGGTATTATTGCACATACATCAAATAGGAATTAAAAATGACATATTGTAGCAGACAAGGTACCCCTATTTAACTGATGACTGCTCCTCTTGGCTTCAAACTGTTCTTTGATGCTTCCACTCTAAATTCATTTTTGCACCTATGGTTAATTAATTTGGGGCATCTATGTAGGGAAGAGAAACTTCCAAGAATGACAAAGCACTCCATTTTCATGGTCACCAATTCTAGTATGGGGCATTTAAATTCCATTTTGTATAAAAACTTTATTTTTAGGAAGTGCGGTAAAAGGATTCCATGATACCTTTCGTGATGTTGTTAACTTTGGCGTTCCTGACTTACCAAGTTCTGACAGGTTCTTCTGTTTGTTAACCCCAACATCAGTGCTCTCTATTTTAATTTTAGCAAAAATGTGCTATATTCCAAGTATACAATGTAAGCAAATGCTATTGCTTGAGGTGTGGGGACATCAGAAGCATGCTTTCCTCCAAGTGTTTTATTCTTGATGCCATTAAAATGGCTTCTTCCAGGGTTTTATCAAAATTACTATAATTTGGAATGAATGCGTTGCAAATCTCAAACACACTGAAATGATGAAATGAAATTAGACATCAGAGTTTTAGGAAACCAAGAACTTACCATCTGATACTTTGTGTTCACAGTTAAGCAAATCTTTGCAGATTCGTGCTGGGTTATCTCGTGTGCCCAGAGGATTCTTGATGCTGTGCAATAAATTGCTAAGGTAGTTCAGAGTTTTGAATATCTCTTCACTGTGGTCAATTAAAGTCACTTCAGTATTCTGGTAACTCTGCCAAGTCATCATAAAAATCACATAAGCAATAAAACCTAAGGACCAACATGGATTGAGGCAGAGGTAAAATGTGTTCCTACTACATGTATAAACTGGGAGTAAGAGGTAAAGAACTGCTTATATTTAAGCATATAAATGACTGTTTTACTAACCTCGGTTCTAAATAAGAGATCAAATTCACACTCAAAAAAATTTAGTTTTCAAGCTGACTTGAGAATTACTATACCTACTGTATGTTTTAAATTATACATTAAATTATTAGAATTTAAACAAAGGAGTAGAAATAATAGATTTTTTTTATTCTAAGAAACACAACTAATTTCATTGAACTATTTTCTTCAATAGTATCTAATTCCTTATAAATAAATCCTTTAACAATATTACATTTTTGTTTTAAATGTTTTCCTTACAAAATATCCTATGCATATATTTCTGTTTAATTATACTAAAGTCAGTTACTTTTACTTTGAAAATGGTTTTATATTTTAAATTTTTAAAAAATATAATCTTAGAGATAATGCCACAGTTTGGCCTCCAGAAACATTTCCCTGTTTAATTTGTATATTGAGAGTGCCAATATAAATAAAACCAGATATATTACCTCCATCTGTAAGGTGGTATTTGATTCAATCAAGGCTTGAATAGCAGCATTGATATCCATTTGTTTCTGTATAAAACAAAACCATTTGAGATCAGCAATAAGATCAACACTGAGTGCTCTAAAGTAAAGGCTGTAAATTCTGAAAGCTCTGCTGTTAAAGTATACTAGACTTATTATCTGAAGGGGGTTTGTAACTCTTATGGTTGGACAGATTTGCAAATACTGCTTGAGTATCTGAAAGGACAATATGCTGCCTTCATCCAAATCTCAAAGGTCTCTTAATTAAAATAGGACCAAATTCTAGAGCCCTCAAATGAAAAACTATTTGTCTCTGCTACATGAAACCACACATACAAAGTTACTCAAATGGAAGAGAATGAAATACGATTCCCTCAGTTAATAAATTGTAAAGTGAAGAATAAATAACTGTAGTAATTTTTAACAGTTATATTCTTGGAAGGAAAATAGAATAAAATACTACTATCCTGAGGTAGTCACCACATTAGTTTAATCTGATACTTCTGTGGTCTTAAAAACAATTTCTGGAGCTGGAAAATTTACCATTAGTCCCAAAAGAAATAATGCAGAATGAATTCAATCTCCCTGTGCATTTAATAAAATATATTTTTAGAAAAAGACTCAGCTTCACCATTAGTAAAAATCTTTTTTTGTAATAATAATTTTAAAAAAAGCTTGGAAACCAAGATGCATGAGTTGGGAGAAGACTCTGGGAAGTGGCATCTGCATAAGTGAAACAAGCAATCTAAGTTCTTTCAGAATGATTGTACTAAGATATCTTTTTTACTTGGAGGTCCATATAATGGAAACTGTTTTCAACATATCTCTCATAACTCATGGTTAGTAATTCAAAAAACTATTTAAGATGATGGAACAATCAATAAAATGCACTCGTCCTTGCTTCAACCTGTGGTTTTCATATTGGAAAAGAATTGACTCATTCTGCATATATGTATACTGCCAAACACTGATACACACTGAGGATAAAATGACAAGCAAAAAAGAAATTTGCCCTATGGACTCTAAGTTTAGAGGAGAGATATAGGCATTAATCAAATCTTCTCAGAAATACCTAATTACAAATTGTGATATAGGTTATGAAAGGAAAGTGCCTGAAGCTATGAGAGAAATTAGGGAATCAATCAACTCTGGAAAAGGTAAGAGGCTGAAAGGGATGGGTAAAGAGTCTTCCATGAGGTAGTGACATCTGAGCTGAGATCTGAAATCACGAAGAGCGACTTGAAAAGAACTTTTCAGGAAGAAGCACCAACCGCGCAAAGGTCACGAGACTGAAGGAGCATGGTTTAATCATGAAAAGGTTAGCCTAAAATGTTCTCTTCCGATTAAATAATTCTGACCATCTTTCTTGTGTGAATGGGCAGATTTTGGATAGGGGCCATGCAAAAATATTGACACAAAATATGGGAACTTGAATTAAGTGCTAAGCAATAGCCACCTTTAAATTTTCTACTTAGTCCCCTTTGGTGATTAGTGGTTTTAATCAGAAAACCTGGCATAATGGTTCTCCAACTCTTCAGAATCAGATTCTTTTGTACTCTTAAATATTATTAAGGGCCTTACAAAACTTCTGTCTATGTGTCAATGCAAAAATTCCAAATTCAGACCAATATACTGAGCCAAATGTGAGTGACCAGTCCCAGGACTCAGCCCCAAAAGTCTTGAGAGCATGTATCGGGTGGTTGAACTGCAGTTTTGTTATATACATTTTAGGGAGGCAGAAGTTACAAAAGACCATAAATCAATATATGTCAGATTTTCATTGGTTCAGCCTGAGAAAGTGGGACATTTCCAAGTGGGGGCTTGCAGGCTATAGGTGGATTCAAAGATTTCTTGACTGGCAATTTGTAGGCTTTTACCTAAGAAGTTTTGGAAACCAGTAGAGATGTCTTGTTGAGATAAGGAAGTGGAAAAACTCCATATTTCTTGATATGCAGATGAAATTCCATATGTAGAAGACTTCAGAGAGAATAGATAAGTGTCTTACATGATGCAGTGCCCAGAGCCTAAGAGTCTTTCTCTTCCTCCTCCTTTTTTTTTTTTTTTTTTTTAGTTGGGGCCTTACTTTGTCATCCAGGCTGGAATGCAACAGCATGACCACAGCTTACTGCTGCTTTGACTTCCTGGGCCTCCCAAGCACTGGGACTACAGGCATACATCAACATGCTTGGCTAATTTTTTGATTTTTTGGAAAGACAAGGTCTCACTATGTTGGCTAGGCTGGTCTCAAACATCTGGGCTCACGTAATCCTTTTGCCTTAGTCTTCCAAAGTGCTGGGATTATAGGCTAGGCGTAAGCCACTGCTCTGGCCTGATTTCCTTCTTTATCTGTTATATGATATTATGCCAGAGTCAGATTGGTAAACAAATGTCAGTATATAGGGTAATAGGGTGATAAATTCCTGTCTGATGGGTCCTTATCAGGTGTGACTCCCCAAGCTTCTTAGGGATTTAGATAAGAGACAAAAGGTTAGAGTTTAGTCCTCAAATGTGAGTTATAATTTTTTATATTTACCATAGTATAAACCAAGACATACACTTGAAAACTATTTATATGTTAATTGCTTTAAAATAATAACAAACCCATTATATGTTAATATAAATATCTTAATAAAAAATAACTATTTTCCAAACCAAAATAATTAGCAAAAAGGGTGGTCCTGTTTTACACTCCAGCACTTTCTCTTTAATGTCTGGATTAATAGGTGATAATTAAATTCTCATATTTGCTTTTGCATTCAATTGGTTGTGATATGTTATTTTAGTTGAAACACGTGAAGAAAATCTGGTCTCATAGATATATACAATTGGAAAAAAAGAAGTATTTAAGTGGGCTTTTTCAGATAATTATAGAGTTTCTTCTTTGATACTATGCCAAGACTTGATGAGTAGTCGTTTTTAAAGGTTAGTTGCTATATGAAAACTGAACCCATATCAATGAACTTTTTGTATTCTTTTATATGAAGATCTATGGATCTTATACTTTGATAAAATCTTTTAGCTATGCACAATTTTAACATCATGCATTGATAATTAAGAAAATATTGATTTGTGGTATTATACAGACCTTCTAAACAGTGACACATTTCATTATGCAATGTCAAAAATTACATTTGTTAACATCATCACTTATAAAAATATAAGTACTGACTGGGGAGCTGTCAAATGTATAGTGATACATACAAGTTTTCCTCAATTCTTATTTTGGCTTGAAAGCTTGAAATTTATTATTAGCATCAAACTCTGACAGTTGTTTTCCTTGAATTGACAGGAGCTTCATTTATCTTCAAGAAAATATTTGTAAAATATTCATGTCTTAATATCATTGGTAGTCTGTTAAGTAAAAATGGTGTTCTGTGATAGAAGTGGCTAGTTGAGTTTGCCACTCAAACAGCTGCACAGTGCTTTAATTTGAAGCAATCACTATACTTTAATGTGCAGTATAATTGCTCTATATGTTCTTCCATTTAATCACATGGAATGTTTAAAAAAAGATTTGTATACAAGAGTAGAGATTTAGGAAACAGTCAGCAAAAGTGGTGGAATAAGGACTTCCCAGAGTTCTCTCATCCATGAAAGCAATGAGAAAAGTGGCAAATATTGTCACCAAGTTTTTTAGAATTATGGAAATTGGCAAAAATGCTTAAAGCAATCTGGGCAGTATTTTTTTTTAAAAAAGAGCTTAATCTTGGTAAAAGCAGTGGGTTTTGTGGCGTTTTAACTTGCCCATCCTCCATGCCCATCTTCTCAGTTCTGCAATAGCCTTGAAAACTGTTAAAGTTTATGAGCAAGAATTGTTTGATTTTTGGCTACATGAAACAGAGGATAACAACTGGAGCCAACAATAAGCTAACCAAAAAGCTTATAGGAAATGTAATGAGATGTCTACAGAGACTTTGAAAAGTTCTGACATATTCCTGGGAAATGCAGAATCCATGTAAAGGCATAGGGCTGTGTGCATGCTGAGGAAAGACCCGAGAAGATGCTAAACTCTCCTCTCTTTCTGTCCTTGAGGCTCTATGACAGTAGGAAGTAAAGACTAAGGTATAATTGACAATTACCTGGCTGAGCACTGAAGTGGTGCTCCAACATGCACCTATACCTCATTGGAAAAAACTGGAAGACTTATTGGTACTGGTCTTTAAGAAATTCTCTTGGGTTGGGCTCAGTGACTCAGCCTGTAATCCCAGCACTTTGGGAGGCCAAGGCAAGTAGACTGCCTGAGCCCATGGGTTCGAGACCCATCCATCTCTACAATAAATAAAAAATTAGCCAGGCATGGTAGCGTGTGCCTGTAGTTCCAGCTACTTGGAAAACTGAGGCGGAAGGATCACCGGAGCCCACCAGTTCAAAGCTGCAGTGACCGGGAGCGTGCCACTGCACTCCACTCTGGGCGACAGAGTGAGAAGCCAACTCAAAAAAGAAAGAAAATCTCTTGGGAAAATTAGCTGACCACTAAGCTAACTGAGTAGAGTTGTCAGTGTTCACACATGTCAAGGAATATAGACTTTATAGAATTCATAAAACTTACTTAACACGCAAATAACAACAACAAAGAGCAATAACACTAAATTTAGGTTGTGGGGAAGAACCTGATTTTCAGGGTTGCCATCTTATATTACTTAAAATGTTCTGTTTTCAACAAAATATTGCAAGACATATTGCAGATGTTGGACTTAATTGACACAGGCTTTAGCTTAGCTATTTTAGGTAAGTTCAAAAAATTAAATAAAACCATGTCTACAGGACTAAAAGAAAGCATGAGAAAGATGTCTTACCAGATAGGAAATATAATAAAGGCACAGAAATTATAGGAAATAGAATCAAACAGAAGTCTTGAAAATGAAAAGTACAATAACTGACATGAAAATTTACTAGACAGGCACAATAGGTAGATTTCAATAAGTAGAAGAAAGCATTAGTTAACTTGAAGATAGGCTTATTGACATTATCCAAACTGAGAAGTAGAAAAATATGAAGAAAAGTGACAAAACTCACCATTTTGAAATGTACAATTCAGTTGTTTTTAGTAGATTCATAATGTTGTGCAATCATTACTATTATGTAATTTTGGGACATTTTCATCACCCTCAAAAGAAACTCCATGCCTATAAAGCAATCACTTTACATTTTTTTCTATTCCATTTCATTTCAAAAGAATGCTGAATGAGACTTACTAAATTGGTCTCATAATCCACTCACCAATGAATCATAACTCACATTCTGAAATAATTGCTGAATAATTACTGAGAAAACTTCTAATTCTATGATCCTATTCCATTATAGACCTTGTTTCTCTCCATGTGAAATAGTCTAGTTTTGAAGACTCCCACCAAAATTTCCTAAGAAATGTGACTTGTCTTTTTGTATTTTTTGATTTATTGTAGAGATGAGGTCTCCCCAAGTTGCCCGTGGGCTCAGGTAATCCTCTCACCTCGGCCTTCCAAAGTGCTAGGATTATAGGCTTGAACCACCAAGCCTAGGCTACTTCTCAATGCTACATTGCCAATTTCCTACAATGGACTCTGTGAGTTCCAAAAAGACATCCTTATATATGGAAGTCGGTTTAGAAGGAGGACAGAAAGTAAGCAAAGAAGAAAACAAAGAAACACTTATTGAGTTAAGCACATACATGAAGGGGGACCCTCCCCCCCAAAAAGGAATTATATTTTGGAAGGCAGGCCCCTTGTAGTACACTGAGAATTTGTTCCTCCAGATCAAGTGGTCAACCAGTTTTTACCTGAAAGTTTTGAGAAGGTTGCATTGCAAATTGTGGAGAAACGTCCAGAGTTTTGGCAAACAGGTGACTTGGTTCTTCTACCACAACAACACATTTAGTGTTGAACAGTTTTTAGCTAAAAACAGCATGACCCCCATGCGCCACCTTCCCTATTCACCTGCTTCACCCCCAGTGATTTTTTTGTTCACCCTATGGAAAAAGGTCTCAAAGGTAAACGTTTTGCTGATGTGGAAGGGGTGAAACAAAAAATGGCAGAAGCACTAAAAGACATCAAAAGTGATGAGCTCAAACATTGTTTTGAGCAGTGGAAAATGCATCTTGATGGGTATATTGCATAAAACAGAGTACTTTGAAGGTGACTGAAGTTTAAACATGTAAGAATAAATACATAAGTTTCTATAAACAAATTCTGGGGTTTTTGGGTCCCCTTTAATATTTCCCTTTTTAATCCTCCCAGTAATTCCTTAAAGTATATCTGTATTCTTATCACATTCTGCTCAGAGCAAAAACCTCTCACATGTCCTACCTCATATTGGCTGTATAGGAAGACATATATTTTCCAAGTGAGACAGGGATATGTGTCCCATATTTTGGCAATTAAATGTGAAAATTTTCACTAAGCACTTCTCTAATTTGCCAATGATATATGATTCTTTAGAACTTGTTCTTTCATAGGAAGGCAGTTTTGATATATCAATGTCATTATAGGTTGGGTAGACAATTGATAAGGACACTTGTAACCCCTACATAGTGAGGTCCCAGGAGGAAAGGAAGAACAGAGAAGCAGAGAATGATTTGGAGCTAGGAAGAAAGACATTCCCACTGATGTTCACATAGTGAAGGTTTCAGTTCCTGTCAGCGGATGGTTATAAAGGGAAAGTGATTTTTAAAAAAGTGTAGAGAAATGGGTCTCCTGTTTTCTTCTTTTTTTTTTTTTTGAGTTGGGGTCTCACTCTGTCGCCCAGACTGGAGTGCAGTGGCCGCTCCTGGCCACCGCAGCCTCGACCTGCTGGGCTCCGGCGATCCTTCCGCCTCAGCCTTCCAAGTAGCTGGAACTACAGGTGCGCACTACCACACCCGGCTGATTTTTTGATTTATTGTAGAGATGAGGTCTTGCTGCCCAGGCGGGTCTCGAACCCGTGGGCTCAGGCAATCCACTCACCTCAGCCTCCCAAAGGCGCGGGATTACAGGCTGAGCCACCGAACCCGGCTGGTCTCCTGTTTTCAAAGGGGCTGTATTCCTTGTGGCACTTTGCTTGTAAGTTATTTCTTGCCCCAGTGAAACACTGAGGAAAATGAAGAGTACCTGATCTGTTGAGAGTAGACCACAGGGAACCATCACCTGGAACTCTAAGAGATCTAAATGACATCAGAGCAGCATGTGGGAAAAAGTAAGGCTTAGGAGGCAAAGGACTGACTGTTATTTGGGATTGTGTAGCCAATAGTGGATCTCTTTTAGACAGGAAACATGACCAAGGACCATTGCAGTTGACCAGGAGGCTGAAGGAGTTGGGTATGGGTGGGGTTGGGGGGTAAATGGAGATCTTTCAGAGGAAACAAGAAGACAAAATGATTGCCGAATCCGAGAGTCAATACAAAGCGAAGGGGAAACCAACTTGGGACATCAGAAGCCATGAGGATAGAAGAAGCCACATAAGCAATGCCTCAAAGATGAGGCAGCATATTTTGGGGTAGCGGTTACAAATAACAAGCAAATATATGAGAAGTCTGAAGGTTTCTATAGCCACCAGCAACTGAGAAGGATATATGTAAAACCTAAGAAGTGAGTAACTGGCAAAGGAGAACATGTTTTTTTTTTGAGTTGGAGTCTCACTCTGGGACCCAGAAATAGGAAGAAATGGAGGGAATTAGCATATTTTGTGCACTTAGTATGCATCCTACATTATGCTGAGTCTTTTTTTTTGAGCATATACATTTCTATTTTATTAAAATATTACATAAGTACAGAGCAATTGGGCACATCCATTCTAAGGCACTGTTCTGATTTGAACACAATTCCACAAGAGAAAAGAGAAGTCATTACATTTGGTATTTTTCATCTCTACATTCAGACTCCTCCCATATTACATGTTTATTGCTACTGGTATCTCAATTTAAGCCCCTATGCTGAGTCTTTACTTCTTATTTAATATTCAAAACCACCCAAGAAAATAGGAGATGCCAATCCAAATCTGAGGCTTTGATTTCAAAGTAGTGTAGTCAGGTCAGTCTTGTATCAGGTTAGCAAAAAGAACAGAGGAACGCAAAAGGGACATCTTTGAAGAGGTAACAGAGGCAACTTTCACTAGTGATATAGTAGTGATTAAAGAAAATAAAACCAAACCAAGGAAACTTACTCTTGGGCCTGGTGCTCCGGGTGGACCCTAGAACATAGCAAATTAAAAAAATATATATTTATTTAGTAGAAATCCCAAACCAGGCAAGCATATAAATATCAATGGTAAACAGAAATAAATGTGAATATACTTACTGGAAGCCCTGGTTGACCTCTTGGACCTTGAGGACCCTGAAAGAAATGGAGGAAAAGCACACTATGTATATACTATGCTTTTGGTTGGATACACACAGGATAACTAATATTCAACCTCTGTCAATGTCTTTTCATGTCAGGAAAGTCATACAACTCAAAATTGTTTTAGTATTTTGAAGTTATATGCTCTTGCACTTAGCTATCATCCATAATCATAAACAAGCTGGATATTTACTTCCTTGTTTTACTGATATTAGTAGAAGCCGAATTTACTCATTTTAATAAACTATTATAAATGTAACATTAAAAAAATGTTCATACTGGCTGGGCACAGTGGTTCATGCCTGTCATCCCAGCACTTTGGGAGGCTGAGGCAGGAGCACTGCTTGATCCACGAGTTTGAGACCAGCCTAGGCAACATAGCAAGACCTCGTCTCTACAAAAAAAAAAAAAAAAAAAAAATTAGCCAGCTGTGGTGGTGCATGCCTATAATTCCAGCCACTCAGGAGCTGAGTTGGAAGGATCACTTGAGCCCAGGAGTTTGAGGCTGAGGTGACCCCTGATTGTGCCACTGTAGCCTGGATGACAGAGTAAGATCATGACTCAATTAAACAAACAAATAAATAATGAAAGAAAACTATTAAACAGTTCATACTGTCTAAGCAAGTTTGTCTTGTTATTTCTGACTACCAGCCAATTGTAAATATAGAAATTTCAGTGCTCTTAGATACCACATTTTCCTTCAACTACTTATACATTGGTTCTCAATCCTGTTGAGTTCACCTGTAAATCTCTTCAAAATATGACTTCTTCACCCTCATAGCAACCGTCTTAGTTCAGTGCTAATCATGTACTATGGACTGAATGTTTATGTTCCACCAAAATTCATGCTGAAGCCCTAATTCCCAGTGCAATGTTTTTTGGAGACAGGGCCTATATAGGAGGTAATTAGGCCATGAGGGTAGAGCCCTCATGAATGGGATTCAGTGCCCTTACAATAAGAGACACAAGAGAGATGATCTGTTTCTCAGCTTTGTTAGTGTACAATAAAGTGTACTTCTGTAAATCAGAAAGAGAGCCATGTCCAGACACCAAATCTGCTGGTATCTTAATCTTGGACTACTCAGCCTCCAGAACTATGAGGAATAAATATCTGTTGTTTAAGCTACACTGTCTATGGCAATTTGTTATAGCAGCTCACAATAAGACATAATGTTCTGTCTCTACCTCTAACTTGACTTCCTGACTTTATTCACTCTACTATGTTAACTATATTTTACCTATAAAATGGAAATCTAATTATGTAATTATGTAGTTAAAATAATTTAGTGACCTTTTATTGTATAGAGGACAACATAGAAACTTCTTAATAATGATGGCTACCATTTACTGGGATCTCACTATGTACCAAGTATATTTCCATTTTACATTTAGGAAAATTGAATGACTAAGTGACCAGTGAATGATGGTTAGAGGTAGGATTAAAACAAAGTCCACCAAATACAAAAGAATATGTTCTCAGTTTCTGTGCCTCTTCTTCGAGGTCTGGTCCTTACTTCTACTTACCTTTCCCAACACACCCTGCACACCATCTATGAACAACTACTGGTAGATCTCTGAATCTTCCAAATTCTTTCACATATCACTCTCTTGCACGTGTTATTTCCATGACCAGGAACACTTAGCCCTATCTTTTCTATCTGTTGAAGGTTCATTCATCTTCCAAGTCTTCTTTAAAACTCTTTATCTGCCTTGCCTAACTCTCATGCCACCTCCCTCCTGTTCAACTAGCCATTTTTTCCCCTGCATTCCACAGAACATGACACATTGGAAAGTCTTTCAAGCCCCTTAAAGTGTCTTAGTCATCTTCTCATTTTCTGGAACATGATCGGCATTCAATAAGGTTTACTGAGTAAGTAAGTGAAGGAATAATGTTAAAATTAATTACTATTAAATTAGAAATTATAAAAGTAAAAAGTGCATAGTAAAATGTCAAAATTAATGTTGACCTTTTTTTAAGAAAAAAGAAATAAGAGTAATTGCAGTTAAGAATGCTCGAAGGCCTTGTAAGTCTGCTAAAAATCAACTTACTTGATGGTCAATTGAATGTTAAGACTGTATTGAGTCAAACTTAGATTGTGGTTAAAAGATGGCAAAGCAAAATTTATCTTCAGCTGAGTCTGGAATGATGTTGATACTATGCTTGACTAAGTATTAAGTATCTCTTATTGCCAAAGCTGTTGGTCCTAAATATGTTGTGACAGCTAGAACAAACAACACACATAACTTAAAAAGGGTAGAGTACTCCAGCAGTATGCCTGCTGGCCATTTCTTCATTTGCAAGGTTTATGATTATAGTTTTAAGCAGAGAATGTACAAAACTTGTACTTCAGAAGTTACATGATAAGTTACAGAAATGTCATGTTGAAGATAGTCTTTTAAATACACAAAGGGTTAAAGTGAATTTGGCTATGTAAGTTTCTCCATTCTGGATCAACACTGTAAAAATAATACACAGTTGTGATCTTTCACTTTACTTAGTATTATCTCACAAAATATCACTGATGGTTCAGTATGAAAATACATATATCCTATCTTCAACTTTGAAAGAGAAGTTTATCATAGAAGAATGAGGAAACTATCTGTACTGCTGATTTTATTAAGTTCATTTTAGCTTGTTGCCCAGAACAAGTTAGATCACCGCAAATATGATCAAACAAAATACTTCAAAACCAGCAAGACAGGGCAGGGCAACCCCAATGTAACTGCACAGAGTAGGGTGAGTAGCCAAGTAAAACAAAATATGATTCCAACAATGTAACATTTTATTAGTTCTCTTTTATTGCTCTAGTTAGTACACCATCAAGGAGGGTGACTCATGCTCTCTCTATACTATATAAAGCAGTTTATAATAAAACTATTATTGTCTATGTTAATTTTCTAAAAAGGAAACCAAATTAATGTGAATAGTTATAGTGATTATTTGGCAACAGTAAAAGCACTGCTTTAAACATAGATTCTCTTTCCACTTAATCACGGAATTTACATATGAAACTCCAAAAGTAACATATTTTATAATTAGACTTTAAAAATACTGGTAAGTGCAAGTCCCTAAACCTGAGTATGTTGGTCTTTTCCTTTTTGTAAATTCCTCTATTTCATTTCCTTTATGCAAATGAAATCTTGATTTAGGTTCATGATCTTGACTTCAGGCTGGCATAGAGTTTTAGAGTTTTCCCTTTTCTGATGTATACATTGAGGAGCTTCCATTGTAGGATGTTTGGCAGCATCCCTCATCTCTACCCACTAGATGCCAATAAAATTTCATCCTTTCTCCCCAGTTGTGACAAAAAAATTGTCTTGATATTACCAAATGTCTCCTGGGGGGCTGGGGGAAGAGGGAGAAATATGGCTCCTGGTTGAGAATCATTGGTTTAAAAGGTTTCACTGAGAGTTAGTAATATTAAATAAGAATTAGATAGTATTGTAATCAGGATGGAATCAGTGAGCATCACAGGCATAGGGCATGCTTGCAAATAGGAATCAACTCTTCAGGATGTCATGTGTGTAGCTGGGCTATTCTTTCATCTATCTATCAGTGCTTGAGTGCGTTGCTGCACACTGGAATCTTAGATATCTCAACTGTAATATAACAGGTTTGGTAAAGACAGTCTCCAAGGTTCACTTTACAATTGTGACTTTCAAGAAAATTTATTAATTTTCTTCCTCATGTGTGTTTAAAAAAATTAAAAAAAACCTTTTTAAAAAAACTTTTAGATATGTGGGTCTTTACTACCTAGGCTGGCCTCAAACTCTTCGACTCAATAGATCCTCCTGCCTCAGCTTCCTGAGTAGCCAGGACTACAGGCATGTGCCACTGTGCTCAACCTACCTCATGTTTTGTATCTTGAGAAAGAAAATGTACACATGCATACAGCTGGGAATTTCAAATTTGAAGTCTGTATGAATGTAAGGGGAATGTGAATTTGAGTTTTAAAAGTTTGGGGATTTTTCCTTTGAATGATTTATACTTTCTATGAATTTTTAAAAGAAATATATACATATATGCTCTGGATTCTGAATGTGTTAATATTTAGGACATATTTCCCCTACCTTAGTTATTCCTTAAACCATCCTCCTCACTGTCTAATTGGAAGCAAATAAGATAATTCTTCACAAGTCAAGAATTGTGAAGACACTTAGAGGTAATAGTTGAAAAAACATCAATGGAATCTCCAACATTTTACTAACTTTCATTAAATAATATGCTATAAAAATGAAGCAGACAATCTAAAAATTCATGACAAGATTGTTCTCTCTCTATTTTTCCATTTCTATGGCTTTAAGTTACATGTCTCTAGTTGCGATTTTTGCCAAAATCATTTTCAGGTAGTTGACACAAGGATATTATTTCTGCTATAATTTAAATTTTTCCTTTTTACTAACAGTATTTCATTATTTTCAGTAGTTTGCTTTGCATTAATTATTCTAAAAATTACTCAATCCTGTTTTCAAAGTATCTGAAGTCTCATGGCAGCCAGGGCATTTTTTGTAACCTTTCAAGATTAACCTGCCAATAACACAACAGTTTTAAAGTAGAGGAAGAAGAGAGAATTCTACATGTTATCTGCTAGTACGTTTCCTTAGGATGTCACAAAACTCTGGCTGCTTAGAGAATATATATGAATCCAGAGACTCCTTTTAAAAACAGCCCACGGGCAGGCAGACAAGGAGCAAGTACTGAACAGAAAGTAAAGAAACTTACAGATGGCAATACAGAAATAGTTCTTGGAAACAGTGATGGAAATGACCTACTTGGGATCAGTACTAGAACTTACAATGTTAATAAACTGTAGAAGATATGAAGATATGATAACATGAAACTTCCTAATCAAGAAACCCCAATTTATGCTGAAGGGGTTTAAAAATTTTTTAAAAATTTTATTTTAAAGGTGTGGGGTGCAATTCAGATTAGGTATACAAAAGTTCATTATGCAGATTCCCTTGTTGATGAGGTGTGCACTTCCCTCCCCTGGCAGTTTCTCGCTACTGCCAGTCCTAAAGGGGTTACTTTTCATGTGTTGTGTAATGAGTTATAAACTTCTTTGTAGTTTTTTAAAAGTCACTGGATCATGGTTTGATCTAGGTATAAAACTTGCCAAGAATAGTATAGCTTAAACATTCTTATGCCAGGAAATTTAAAAATAAGATTGAAAAGCCAATTTGATGGATTGTTGTGATTCTGATCTTTGTACAAAGGGTTAAGTGTCTTACTTGTCTCTATATAATAGGTCTTAGTTAAGAAAATCTATTCCAAAAATACCTCATTTACTGGTATTATCTGAGACTGACCCCCAATAGGATGTTACATTCTGAAACACAGTAACCAATGATTAGTCTTTAGCCAGTCAATTATCTAAACTCTTCCCTTAAAGAAAACAAATTGAGCCGGTCACAGTGGCTCATGCCTGTAATTCCAGCATTTTGGGAGGTGGAGGCAAGAGGACTGCCTGAGCCCAGGGATTCAAGACCAGCCTGGGCAACATGGCGAGATCTTGTCTCTACAATAAATAAATAAAAAATTAGCTGGGTGTGGTGGCACATGGCTGTAGTTCCAGCTACTTGGAAGGCTGAAGTGGAAGGATCGCCTGATCCCAGCAGGTCAAGGCTGTGGTGGCTGTGAACATGCTATAGCACTCCAGTCTGGGTGACAGAGTGAGACTCCAACTAAAAAAAACAAACAAACAAAAAAAAAAAAAAAATGAAGAAAACAAACAAACTGATAGAATGTACTGAAAAAACTCCTAATGATAATATAAGAAATGTTACCAAGCTTTTCTATAGAACAAAAGAGAAAAGGTTTAATGGCACATTTTATGGATTAAGGTACTTGCAGAATAATATCTAGGAATTAAAAGATTATCTTTATAAAGCTTCTTAAGCTATAATGGGATAAAAGGAAAAGAGGTGATTAAAAGATATTTAGCATCAGTTACTCAACAATAAAAACAGACTAAACTCATAATTCTAATGTGCCAGTTAGATCTTGTTTTCAGGAGCTTATTAAACTGTCTACACTGTCATTGTACCTGCTTCCCCTCTCTCTTGAGTACTGGAAGTTTGCACCTTATTTGTGAAGAGAACTGTGGTAACCCACAGACCAAAAAACAAATAAGCACGTTAATTTGGGAGATACTACTTTACCAGACTAGAAAAAAAAAGTAGGGAGTTCAGGGGTGATATGATCTGGACAAGGGTGTCCATGATGAACAATGCAGGGAGTGGGTGGATTCAGAGAAGAATTCACAGCTAACGGGAATTAATAATTCATCTCTACTTAAAGAACTCTTCTATATGCTCTACGCTTTTGTTAGTTCTTTTGTGGGACTTATTTCTTTTCCTTTTGTGTAGAATCACAGACACTCAAGTCTGGAAGGAACTTGAAGGATATCTCTTCTAATTCCCTACTCAGTGCAGAAACACCAGTCCAGTAACTCATAGAGATGGCCGTAGGCTTTAGTGAAAGGTGCTCAGTATCTTGCAAAACTATTGTTTTGTGCAGCTGTTCATTATTATGTTAGTAGCGTATGATTACATTGAGCTGAAATCAGTCTCAGAATTTGATTCATTTAATCACAAGCTATTTATTATGTGTTAATTATGTGCTAAGTGCTATAATAGGCTGGGGATTAGGTGGTATCAAATATATCTCATTCCCTGAGGGAGCTCACTGTCTCTCAGGGAGCTGAGCACAGAAATTGAAAATACCATTCAATAAATAAATCACTTTAATTTTATCCTCTAGAGTTACTCATAGTATATCTATCCTCTCTTTCATAAGACAACCTTTCAGATAATTGAAGACAACTACCATGTTCCAACACTCCAAATGTTCTCTAATACATTTACCAATAATCTATTAAATGCTTACTGAATGTCAACTGTAAGACAGGCAATGTCAAGTGTTAGGGACAAAGCACTGAAACAAAAATAGGTAAAATGTGTATGTCATGGAGGCTTTATTCTAAGTAAGGGGAGATAAAACGAACAAAAGACCAAATAAATACAGTAATATGTCAGGTGGGAAGGTCACGGGTTAAGGAAAGATAAGGGGTCTCAGTAAGGTGGGGTCCTTTCACATAGGTTAGTCAGGAAAAGTCCCTGATAAGAGGACATTTAAGTAAAGAACTAAAGAACAGGTGCCAGGTATTTTACTAGGTGCTGGGTACTAGGTATTACATCTAGGGGTAGGAGTAGGGTGACATCAAACATCACCAAGTCCGCCCTGAGTCCACCATCTTTAAATAAAAGCCACAAGATGAGCAAGAACTCTCTGCCATACACAAAGATTATGTAGAGAAATAGTAGGTGCAAAAGCCAGGAAGAGAGCAGAGAGCAGAAAGAACAAGGAGAGAGATGTGATCAGGCTGCAGAACCGGGTAGAGGCTAAATACCCAGATATTTCAACTAGCCTTCCCAAGACATGGCTCTCCCCAGATCCTCCACCAACCCGAGAGAGCCCTTCTCTGAATGTGCTTTAATTTAGTCCATGTTTCTCTTTGTGGATGGCCCGACTGGTGCCACTACCTGCTTTATTCTGGATGTCATATTTCCATCAGTACAACCTAAGCATTCATAATCCATTGAGTTTGTAATCCATCAGAACCGCTTGATTTTTTTTTCCCCACTTGAAGTGCTTGTGACAGTGTCATAGGTGCTTGAGGTTTCCTACTCCTGATGGAAGCAAGTTCCTGCCACTTGAAGGGGTGTTGGAGAGCATGCAGAGCCAGACAGGTGTGGGAAATGGGCTGATTCCAAGTGTTCCTGTTTTTCTTCCCGGCTTTCACTTTTCCTGGGAATATGAGTTCAATGCGAGCATATGTTCTTGCTTCCTGTTATAATAAGTCTGCTGAGAAATGGTGACGGTCACGTTTCTGCAAATCGAACACATCTATCTAAATGCCCTTTCGGGATTCTTAGGCTATCTGAAATCACATTAATTTTCCTTTTGCAGCTAATTAACAAAACTGCAACTTACTTATTCTGCGTCCCAAGCATGCCCTATGATGAGAGGCAAAAATCCCAGCAGTCACGATGTCATCTCATTACCTTTTAACCAAGACTTTACTGCTCTATTTAAATTTATTCTTATGGGCTTATGTACTTAGTTTCAATTCCCTCATTTAATTCCATGCCTGTCGTCTTTTTATGGCTGATGATTTAATAAGTTCAGCATGAATTCCATGATAAATGAGTAGATTTTAGCTGTTCTTGCCACAAAGATAACAGAAGATGACTGTGTGGGATGAATATAATGTTTCTCTATAATAATTGTTGCCCTATCTATATGTATCCCATAAGGTATCATGTTGCATACCTTAACTATACACAATACAAGATTTATTAAACAATAAGCTTAACACGATCTCTGTTGGGGAAGTGGCCCTTTTATAAAATGCCGTCTTTAGCTTGGAAGAACTGGCATCCTAGAAATGTGGGAAAGAGTGCCAGTATAAGCTATTTAGGTCACGAAGTGTTGTGTCCACCCTCTCACCATTGTTTCTAATTGGCTGAAATAGACAGCTAATGATTTGTTTCTCCTCTGCAGCCCTCTTTGGCGATGACTGGACATAGTGGGTATAACCCTAAGTGACTGGCAGTGCCTTTTTCTGTCACTGGTGAAGAAGACTCTCTTGCTCTTCGGATGCCCGACAAGGCAAACACTCCATTTCACACAGTGATCTGGAAAGAATATGACTGGCAGGTTCTTAAACAAATTTAGGGCTTATCAGATTTCACTGCAATATACCACCTAGGTTAATTCTACTTCCTCACAACTGTAATTTTATTTTTATTCCACAAGTATCAGAGATATAATAATAACGCTAGCAGAGTCCTTGCTTTCATGGAGCTCATAGCCTAGTGTCAGACACTATAATCACAAATTTAATTAAACTTACAGTTTCCCCTCTAAAGCCCTTTTCACCTCTGGGTCCCTAAAAGAAAAAAAAAAGATGTTAGTTCTGTGCTATTGATAGTTATTTATTAAATGTAGCTGAAATTGCTGTATACTAAACATGACAAATTATGGTTTTGATTTTTCTATCCAGTAAGACTTGTTTTGTTAATTTATATACTGTTTAGTTTTCTTTTCCTAAGCAAACCATAACAAAAACAACACATCAACAGGTTTGTTTTGGTTTGTTTTGCTGTTCCTAGCACTACCTTCGGGTGAGACTAAAATAACTACTTATTCACTCAAGTCAAAACAGCTTATCTGGCAATCATATACAAAACAATTTAAAAATAAAATTCTTTCTAAATTCAGGTTATATTTTTTTAATATTTTTTTTCTTCAATCCTTGAAAATCCTGTTGTGGGGTGTTTTCCTTCTCTTTCTGTTCCTCTTTTTGAATCCTGCAAATTTTGATTTATTGTATATAATTTCATGTAGTTCAAAATATTTTCTAACTTTCCTAGAGATTGTCCTTTTGATTCAAGGATTATTTAGAAGTAAGTGTTTGGAGATTTTCCTATTATTTTTTTGTTACTAGGTTCTAGTTTAATTCCATGATGACAAGAGAACATACCTTCGATAATTTCAGTTCTTTTATGTTTAGTAAAATTTGTTTTATGACTCAAAATATCTATCTTAGTAAATGTTCTATATGCACTTGAAAAGAATGTAGCGCCTGCTGTTGTTGGGTGGACTTACTGCTTGTAAGACTTGTTAATATTTTTATGTTCATCCTTGAAGAAATTATCTATTTTTAGTAAATACTGTTATAACACTATTCATCTTTTTTGTAACCCAAATTTACACTTTCACAATGTGAGTATTCTTCAATATCAATCCATACTCTTCTAGATGATTAATATACCTAGTATTTAATACATTATGATATTTTAAATTCCCAAATATTGATTTTTTCCTATTTTTTCTCATTATGAGCAATGCTGTGAGAAATATTCTTGTACTCTAAAATGTTTGTTAAAGATTATCCTTCAGAAAGTTTGTTTGAAATTGCAAGCACACCTGCAAAATATGAAAGTATATATTTCTTCTGATTCATGCCATGTTGTTATTTTTTCAAGCTAAAAATACAGTCTTATTATTTATTCACCACTTATTACTTATTTTTGTTTCTTGTCTTAACCTATTTTAAACTAGGGTACTAACTTTAACATTTTTGATTTGATTAACTTAAAAATTGATTTTTAAGATAGGTTACAGCACTTAAAAAAAAAAAAATCAACCTTTTCTACCCCCAACTCAGTATTAACAATCTGGTATATATCTTTTCATATTTTTTCTAATCAAATATTGACAGATATATTTACATATGTATGAGGGATACTGCTATTTGGTAATATTAGGATCATATTATATACTCTTCTATGCATTATGCTTTTCCCACTTAACAATACATCGTGAAATAAGTGTAGGTCAGCCAAACCAGATACAATGAATTCTTTTTAATAACTGCATAACATTCCATGAAATTGCTGGACCACAATTTTCTCAGTCATTCCTTCACAGAGGAGCATTCATATGTTTTTAAGGTTTTGTTGTTGTTGTTGTTGTTTGCTTGCTTACCAATACAGTGTTGTGGGAAAAAAAACTGTAGAATTCCCTTCGTGGATTGTGTATTTTTATGAGGGGGGACCTCCTACAAAAGGCTAGGAGGGCAGACCCCTTGTAGTACACTAGGAATTTGCTTCTCCATATCAAATAGTCAACCAAAATTGTTATCTGGAAGTTTTGAGAAGGTTGCATTACGATTTGTGGAACAAACATCTTGAGTTGTGGCAAACAGGTGATTGGTTCTTCCACCACGACACCTGCCCACACTGCGCTGAGTGTTCAGCAGTTTTTGATCTAAAAATGGTATGACCTCCATGCTCCACGCTCCACCCTCCCTATTCACCCAATCTTGCCCTGAATGACTTCTTTTTGTTTCCAGATACAAAAAGTTCTCAAAGGGAAACATTTTGCCCATATGGAAGAGGTAAAACAAAAAATGACAGAAGTCAAAAGGCATCGGAATCGATCAATTCAAAAACTGTTTTGAGCAGTGGAAAAAGCATCTTGATAGGTGTATTGCATCAAATGGACAGTACTTTGAAGGTGACAAGTATAAACACATAATAAAACACAATTTTTAATAAATAAACTAATTTGGGGGGAGTCCCCCTTTGTATATGTATGGGACAAATTTCTCAAAGTGGAACTGCTTGGTTAAAGGCTATCTTTACCTATAGCTAACAAATCTTTCCACAAAGACAGTATTCACATTTCTACCAGTGACTTTCCTGATAGCTCCTTCTGAGAGGTTATGTGGAATATTTCATTTTAATTTAATTTGCAGTCCTCTGACTTAAAGTTAGGTGAACATCTTTTTTAAAACAGTAGTTGAACTTTTGGATTTGCTCTCCCCCTGACTGGCTACTCTTTTTGCTGGAATGTTCTTCATTTTTCTACAGTTTTCTATCTTTTTCAAACTAACTTACAAGAGCTCTTTATGTATGTATTAACCTGCTATATGTTGTATGCTTTGCAAAGATTTTTCCCACCTATTTTAATGTTTTGGCTTTGTGGAATCTTTATTGCTTTATTTTTAAAGTCCTTAAATGTTCATCTAGGGTTTTAAAAAATTGGTGAAATAGGGTTCTAATAATTTTTTTTCCTTTTCTTTCTTTCTTTTTTTTTTTTTAAGACATGGGGTCTTGGTGTGTTCATCCAGGCTGAGTGCAGTGGAGCAATCATAACTCACTACATCCTGGAACTCCTAGGCTCAAGCAGTCCTTCCACCTCAGTCTCCCAAGTAGCTAGGACTACAGGCATGTACCACCACACCCATTTAAAAAAATATATTGGGGCCGGGCTTGGTGGCTCAGCCTGTAATCCTGCGCCTTTGGGAGGCTGAGGTGAGTGGATTGTCTGAGCCCGCGGGTTCGAGACCCGCCTGGGCAGCAAGACCTCATCTCTACAATAAATAAAAAAAAAATCAGCCGGGCGTGGTAGCGCATGCCTGTAATTC